AATTTCAACGATCTCTGCACGTCCTCGCACGGGGTGTACTCGGACAAGGAAGGGTCACACGGAGGGAAACGAGTGACACGCGCCGTCTCGGATGGAGGGTCGGGAGGGTGGTGGTGAGGCAAGAAGTCGAGTTGGGTGATTGTTTGAGAGGAGAGCAAGAGGCTGATGATTGGAATCCACCACCGGAAGCGACGACGGATGAAGAGGTGGTGGGGAAGAGGCCGACGGAGTGTTGCCATATTCCGATGAGGTAAAAAGTAGTGCACAAGATTACTATGAGAGTGGTGTAGTAAAGGCTGAACCTTTTGGCGTTGAATAATGTGGATTGAGAAAGTCTTCTTGGAAGACAAGCCATGGCGGCCATTGACAAGAATTGAAACAAAAAATTAAACCTTCCAAGAACACAAAAGACAGACTAAAATTACACAGAAAGAAGGCAATGCCTATGTAACATATATAAATGGAAACGCGCTTCGCTGGTTAAAGTGAAAATTGAAGTTGAGTTGGTAGTACGATACTTTTAATAATTTTTTATAAACTTCAATTTAAATTATTCAATTAATAATATACTTTTATAAATTATTATTTAAATTATTTAATTAATAAATTAGATACGATTAATATTATAAAAATTATTATTTTATTATCTGTACATACATTGAGATAACTTTATTATCATTATTTTTTTAAAAATGCTTTAATAAATTTATATGGTTTGATTCACTTACATTGTTTCTTTTAACATTAATATATGAATCTAGAATTTGTTAATGTATGAATTAAAAATATAACAATAAATGATATGATATATTTATAATATCGTGAGAATGTAAGGGGTTTTCTGATAAGATTATGGCAATATTTTCTCTTGATCTGTCTTTCCTTTCATACCCTTTACTTAACACGTCTTTCCTTAATTTTATTTAAATTTATTTTTAGTTTTTTTTCAGGATATATATAGAAAAAGCATGGTATATATTAAAAGTATAAATTGGTGACATAAAACAATAAATTTTGATAATATATATGGGTTTAACGAGTAAAAGTGTTTACGTGCCCCATAAAGTGAGAGTTTTGGGATTCAAAAAGCACATTAAATACAATATTTATAACAATATAAATGGTTTGTTTTTAAATATGAATTAACGTTTTGACATGATGAATTATTAGATTTTTAAAATAAAAGTTAAAATTGCAAATTTATTTATTTTAAATTATGTGTCTATATAAATAAAAATAGTAAATTACATAAATGGTCCTCCGACTATAGGATGTTGCTTTACCGAATTATTTAACCATTAAAAGTTACAAAATAGTCTTCCAACTATAGATCATTACTTTGTCGAGTCCCTTGATTATTAAAAGTTACAAAATGATCACTCGTCTATTCATATGTTCCAAACTAGTCATTTTTCATTAAAAATTTGACGGCCTTTTGAGTTGAATGTTAACATGTTGACTCAGATATGGTAAATTTAATCTTATAATCATTTGAGGTGTATTTTTGGATCGAGTCTCTGTTTACATTTATTATCGAGTCAGTGCTTGAAATATTATACCGTTGAGTTGTGCTTCAAAGTAACGGCGTGCTACTAGACATCATAAAAATACAATTGTATCATATCCTAGTCAATACGATAACGTTCAACTCAAATGAATAGTTGTGTGACCATTTTGTAACTTTTAATAATTGTGAATCATTTTGTAACTTTTAATAATCGAGAACTTAACAAAGTAATATCCTATAGTCAGGAGATCATTTGTGTACTTTACCCATAAAAAATATAAATTCAAGTTTTGGCCATCTTTAAAGGGCTTAACTATCAACCCGATTTCAGTTTTGTTTCATGAATTCACTTGCCCCTGATTAAAATGACGTAAATTATATTTTAGTCCCTCTCAAATATTAATGATACCATTTAAGCCTTTTACCTTTTTTTAATAAATGCAAAATTTACATATTTGGCCCCTTTTAAAAGTTAATAATTTTTAAACGGAAGAGTTGGAGCGCATTCGTAGCAGCTTGGGGTTTAAAGTTAGGATGCTTCCTTTTTGATATTTGGGGGTTCCCTTAGTGACAAGGCGGCTGTCTGAAAAGAACTGTCATAGTCTTTTCGATTCTATTAGGAAGAGGTTGGGTCATTGGTCTAACTGTAGATTGAGCTATGCTGGTAGGCTGGAGCTGATTAAATATGTATTGTTTAGTCTCTCTAATTTTTGGTGTCGTCAGTTGGTTCTGCCCAAGGTTGTTATAAGGAGGGTTCGGACTCCCCGGCCGCTGGTGCTAAGGTAAGTTGGAGTCGGATTTGCTCCCTCAAATCGAAAGGTGGGTTGCGTCTTAAGGACTTAGTGTCTTGGAATCGAGCATGTCTTCTTCAGTTGCTTCAGAAGCTTTTGGTCAATGAAGGATCGCTTTGGGTGGCCTAGGTGAAGTCGTATGTCCTTAAAGGGACTAATGTTTGGAGTTTTGTCTCGAAAGCTTGGGTTAGCTGGAGTTTAAGGAAGATTCTTTCTCTTAGGGAGATTGCGAGGCCCTTGTTTGAAGTTGCTGGTTCTGCCCCTGTTCGGACAAGGTGGATTTGGCAGGAGCTGAGGGTGAAAGGGAATACGGTTCCATGGCAGAAGCTGGTATGGTTTCCTCTTCACGTTCCTAGACAAGCTGTTATTTATTGGTTGGCGTTGTTGGATCGACTGGCTACCAAGATAGATTGCGACGCATGGGTATAATGTTGGAGGGTGTTTGCGTTTTATGTGGAGTGGCAGAGGAGTCTAGAAATCACATGTTCTTTGATTGTAATTTTTCGGTAAGGGTTTGGAAGACCATTTTAGCTTGGTGGGGAGTGCGGCGTGAGAGCCTCGGCTGGAAAAATGAGTTGCAGTGGGCACTTTCAAATGGGAAGGGTAATTCCATTTCTTCTTTTATGTTTAAGATTACTTGAAATGCTTTTATATATTTTATTTGGGAAGAGAGAAATAGAAGAAACTTTAGAAAGTTTTATAGAAATGATGAGGAATTGCTTGGTTGTATTGAGAAAATTGTGCAGGTGAAACTAGCTAGGACTATATCAGGAACTATATAGGGCTGTATAGTATGGGATTATAGGTTTCGATTTGGTTGTTTTGTTGATTGCTGCTTTGTTTTATTTGGATTTAATACATATATTTTATTCAATTGTTGGCGTGATTTTCTTACGAGATATTCTTACAAGATTTACTTATTCAATCTATTATATATCTATTTACTTTGTCAACCTACAAATAAATATATCACTCATTATCTAACACACATTAAAAACCTATATAAATTACCCTACAAGGTTGGAGTAAGGTTTTAAGACCTATATAAATTACCCTACAAGGTTGGAGTAAGATTTCTCTTAAAACCGAACAATTAAAAAAACAATCATTTACGATTTTCGGTTCAAAACGGTCAAATATAATCACAATTCCATATGGCATTAGACTTAGGTCGGCAATTTTGATGTGGGTTGAGAAAGGGGTCTCATTTTAGATTAGGTCCAACTTTCCTCCCATAAAAGAGATGATAAAGACATAAACATGACGAGGTACGATGTTTGGGAATAAGAGGCAGGGCAGATCAGATTTCACGTCAACTAAACATGCGATAACAGGATATAGAGCTTCACATTGTAGCTCTCAATTGGGAAAGGAAAGATATGACCTTTTCCCTTTGGTTTGTGACTCTGCGCTGCAATATTAAACAAGGATTGTTAGCTATCGTAGTACATAATGCTGAGGCCACCATTCTTGTTCTAAATTGCTTAGATTGCAAGCAAGGAGCGTCATTCGAGAGAAAAATATGATACCTTTCAAAACACGCCAATGACTTGCCTAATTGCCGCTATGATTTGCCATTCTATTTACCACCAACTCCAAATCAACGTGTTGGTGTTCCTAGCTTTTGGAGATGGCATAATACCAATAGAAAATGATCTTTAACATATGAATGAAAAATTATTTTGAACTTTATTTTTGAAATTAGTTGATCTCTGATATTTTATTTAGGATAAATAATTTATGGTTAAATGAAAATAATTTGTTAACGATCAATGTTTATAAACTTTATATATTCAAAGTGATGACATAATATATATTATGTGTATAAAGTAATAATGTGATACATACTATATATCAAAAGTGTTGATGTAGTATACATTATGTGTCTAAAGCAATAACATGACATATATGACATATATCATGTGTTGATAATGATTATGTGATGAATGATAATGTGATACATTTTATTTAAAATAAAACATTAAAAATAAAATGCTTACACGAATATAAAATAAAAGGATTGTATTATTAAACGCTAGGAGTCAATAATTTTAAAATTTTGGAAATTTGGCAGCTAGCAATATTATTAACATGGAAAAACCTTCAACGTAAACACATCGAGTTTGGGTTATTACAAGTCCCTAATAAGAGACAAATTCAATGGATAAAATGATCCCTGTCATCAGCCAAACCGTGTTGGAAGCCAGTCAAGCCACGTGTATCAGATGGACCATGTTATTCTTCTGAGTCGGTTCCATGCAGGGGCCAATTGGACTCTAGCTAATTGTTAATCCATCCCAGTTGTTATTAGAATCTTTCACCACTAACCCTTTGAGTCCGACGCCACATAGCCAAAGCTGCTAATAATAGATTAATAGTACGGAGTGGCTGAGATTGAAATCATCAGGTATAAGAAAAGACAGGTCGAGGACAAGACCGCGAGTAGTACAATTTTAATGGAATACGTATTGTATTTGTCAACAAATGCTTGCTTATATCATAATCATCAGAATTATTGAAGTCCATTAAACAATATTATCTACGCATCGATCTTATAACGATAACCATTATCTTCTAGGCCACTGTTTCAAGTGTCCAAAATGGTGGTGAACTTCAACCGATTTGAACAAAACTCGAGACGCGCGCCAAACCTAGGATTAAGACAAGACCGAGGAAAGCAACTGTTATGTCCCTTTTTAAATGTCCAAAGTGGATCAGATCTCCCCGTGTCTTTTTAATGGGTGCCAACATATCTGGTTCTGTGGTTGACAGAGATGGTGGTGGTTCTCCTTTGAAGCCAAGACTCGGTGACATACCGGAGAGCTGTGCGGCCTTGGTTCTGGCCAAGTTAGACCCGCCTGAGATCTGCAAATTGGCTCGGGTGAACCGATCTTTCCACGGTGCTTCGTCGGCAGATTTCATATGGGAATCGAAGTTGCCATCGAGTTATAAGTTCATTGTGGAGGAAGTGCTAAGAGATACAACTCTGCTGAACCTGCAGAAGAAAGAACTTTACGCCAAACTATGCAGGCCTAATCCCTTTGATGCCGACACAAAGGTAATGCCTTTGCTTTTCCTTGCATGTTTATTACTTTAATAATGTAATAATGTTGGCTTTTGACCATGCGCAGGAGATCTGGTTAGATAAGAATACAGGTGGGGTTTGTTTATCGATATCTACCATGGCGTTAACCATCATCGGGATTGATGATCGCCGGTACTGGACTCGTATTTCCACCGAGGAATCTAGGTATCCCACAGTAGCGTACCTTCAGCAAATATGGTGGTTCGAGGTTGATGGAGAGGTGAAGTTTCGGTTCCCGGCGGGAACATATAGCCTATTCTTCAGACTTCAGCTTGGGAAATCTTCAAAGAGACTCGGTCGTCGTGTTTGTAACTCCGAGCACATCCATGGATGGGAAATAAAGCCCGTTCGGTTCCGGCTAACGACTTCGGACGGTCAAAGTGGTGAATCACAGTGTTATTTAGACAATCCCGGAAGCTGGGTCCTTTATAAAGTAGGAGATTTTGTTGTGAAAAATCGTAATGCATTGATGAACATCAAGTTTTCATTGACTCAGATCGATTGTACTCACACCAAAGGTGGTCTTTGTATCGATGCTGCTTTAATTTATCCCACTAATGTAGCTAAAGATTGTTCATGAGAAGTTTGTGAGATTAGAACAAGTAGATACCGAATTGCAGTGGGAGTTTTGTTTTGTTTTTCTAGAAAAAATAAATCTACATAATTCCTCTTTTTGTTGATTAAACTTCATTTTCGATTTTTTTTTTGTTGATTAAACTTGTAGAGATTATCAAGGTCCTTGGTACACCAACTAGGGAAGAAATTCGCTGTATGAATCCCAATTACACGGATTTTAGGTTTCCACAGATTAAAGCGCATCCATGGCATAGCTTCCTGAAGCCATTGATCTTGCTTCACGCCTGCTGCAATACTCACCCAGCCTTGGCTGTACAGCGCTCGAAACATGTGCACATCCCTTCTTTGACGAGCTTCGAGAACCAAATGGACGAGCCTTGCCGCCAGGGTTTCAAATCGCTGTCGTGGTCGCGTTTTCGGTTATTTCGAATTTACCGTGATTACGGCTGTCGCGGGTAACTCGGACAGCGGTGAAACCACTATATCGCGGCCGAAATTGCGGTCATGGACCGTTTTTTAAAACCCTGCTTGCCGCTACTTTTCAACTTTAAACAGGAATTATCCGGGGCCTCTCCGGAGCTTGTTAATAAGTTGATTTCAGATCATGTGAAACGGCAAATGGGATTACAACATTCCGTACATCCAAGTGGAACGTAAAACATCAAAAGTGGTACAAGACGATATATCTCCTGGTTGATGTGTGACAAAGATGAAGCAAAATCTTTGAATAATCACCATGGATCGAGTCCCGTCCAGCATAATTTTGTACCCTTCCAAGACGCATACAGTCTCTGGCAGCCAGATGGTCGTCTCTCTCTCTTATCTCTTCTACTTAAATTCTGCCTCTCTTAATCTGAGTTTACATTTTGGAAAATGCCCTTTTTTGGTCATGTACATGTAACATAGTATTGGATAGCAAAAGAATCATATGACTTTTAAGGAGGGGGGGGGGACATGCCAGAAAGCTATAAATGAAGAAAAAGTTGAGAATTGTAATTGCTGCTAGGACCTGCTGCAGGGAGATAATGGGTGTGTGGCTAAAGTTCGGATGTTGTTGGTTGTTAGTTATGGAATCGAAGATGAGTATTCTTGCTATTTGTTCCAAGTAATGTTATTAATCTTTCTACTAGAACTGTAGTTGCTTCGTTTGATATGAAAGTTGAAGTTTCTGAATCTCAGCCATTGATGGAGTGGAATTGCAGTCCCACATCAATGCTGTAAAACTTACCCAAAGGAATGATATTTATGTGGGTTCATGATTTATGATTTATGTCATTTTCACTAAATAATTTCATTATATTTGTATTTGGTGGAAATAATTTTGTCTTTGTGTCGTAACCGGTTTTCGTCCGGGCACGAAATATTTACTTGACGGGAAAAGTGATGTGAATAAATGGTTTTGAAAATAATTTGGGAGTCGCCATCGGCCTTTTGGGTCAGGTAGGTCGAATACCTAAAAAATATCTTTTAAAAGAGTTTTTAAGAAAACATCAATTAAAAGATAAACTGATCTGCGTTTTAACCAAAAATTCGTTCTTTTTAATAATAAAAAGGGATTCGTGGTCGGTTACGTTTAGGGAAGGATTAGCACCCCTACAACGCCCAAAATTGGTACTTTTTAATTATAAATTGTCTCTATTATTAAAAATTAAAAATTAAAAATATATTTAATTTATAATCCTATTATTTCAAAATTATAAAAAATATTTATTTATTTAAAAATATCGGAAAAAGACTTCTAGGTGCCTTAAGACAGCTCTTTTCTTTGATATTAATAAATATTAATTTAAATAAAATTAAATAATAATTTTTATAATATTTAATTTTAAAATACCAGAATATGACATCCAGTTGTATTAAGACTGCCCTTTTCTTCGATATTGAAAAATAAATAAATAATTTAAAAAAAATTATTTATTTATTATATATTTATAAAAACATTTAAATATATAAACAAGTAAAATTAAAAAAAATACAATTATAACTATATATTTAAAAGCAATAAAAGAAATAAAACTACTTAAAATTATTGACTAAATTATAGTAAAAGTAAAATTGAAAACCTAATTCATAATTAATCAAAATTATAGGGATTAAACATGCTGTTTCTTTATTTTTATTTATTTAGTGACTAAAATAAAATTATCTAAAAATTCGGATATTAGAATAAAATAAATTAAAAATATAAACTAGGGATTAAAATATTATTTATTAAAATTAAGGGATTAATTCTGTTATTTATCCTAAATATATTATTTTAATATAAAGGACTAAAATAAATAAAATTAAAATTTCGAGATCAAATTAAAAGTATTATAAGTTCGATTTAGTGACTAGAATGTAAAGTTTACAAGTTGGAATGGCTTCGGACGGGTTTACCCTTTTGTGAAATTACAGAAATACCCTCCCCGAAACGACGTCGTTTGGGAGAGGGTATTTATATCCTAAGCCGGCTGGCCCTACGGGCCAGTTTCTCATTTCTTCAATTCTGTTCTCTCTCTAACAGAGAGAGAACAAAAATGTTCTCTAGCTTCCCTCACCGGAGGGAAGCCGGTCACCAGACGGCAACCGTCTGCCGCCGTGACCGTCACCGCCGACCACCGTATCTAAAGAATTACCTTCGATTTCCGAAGGTTTTGGTGACGTCCGGTGGCTTCCTCGGTAAGCTTCTTTCCTTTCTTTTTGTCTCTGTTTTGGTTTTTTTTTTTTTTTTGCTGTTGTTCCTTTCCCTTTTGTGAGTCACCGGACTACCAGTGATGACTCACCCCTTAGCCATGGCGTGGACGGCTGGCGTTGGAGCTTCTGGAGCCTTCGGTTGGGACGTGGCAGCGGTGGAGGCAGAGGCAGCTAGGGATTAGAGGCGGCTAGGGATTAGGGTTAGGAAACCCTAACTGAAACCCTAAATGTTTTTGGGTTTCAGTTTGGTTTGGGCCAGAAAATTGGTTTGTATTTTTTTATTATTTTTATTATTATTTATATATATATATTTAATATAATAATAATAATAATAATAATAATATTTATAATAATTATAATAATTATAATTATAATTATAATAATAATAATAAATAAATTAATATGGGTAAAAAAAATTAGTATCTTCACTTTGCATTCTAAATAATACAGAATATTTCTCAATACTACTATTTTAGAGGAAAATCATACTTCTTCAATACAAATTTATTTTTTAAAGGAAAACTTAAACAAAATGACGCTTTAAAATTTTTATCTTGTTAGGCGCAGTATAAAATCCAAAGATAATAATATCCCTTGTAAAATGATCTTCATGTTTTAGAAACTAAAGTTCATCTTTTTGCTTAGGAACCTACGACATACCCTTTATATAAGGGGAAAGATTTGCATCATTGTCCTTTCTACTCAAATTTCGATCGATTCATGTTCGTGTAAATACATTTTTTTAATACGTATCGTAGTGGATTACATCTTGTGGCAGAGTTAAGAGTAATAGTTTTCTTTTTTTTTTTCTATAAGATTTATCTTAGGGACCCTTGAATCAATTACATTGTTCGTCTCTAGGTTTCTTTAGTGATTTTTAGCCATCTTGCTATGCCCTTATTTTGATCCAATCTGTTGGTTGGCATCTTTGCAGTGTCTCTCACGTTCAAGTAATGGGACGTCCTTTATCTCCTTCCTTTGGCATTCAGATACTTGAACCCTCTGAAAAATCTATGCTGGAGGCACGGAGCTACGCACAACCACCGCCCCTACCTGAACAGACTAGTTTTGCTTCCACTCTGCAGTTGCGCTTGAGAGACTTGGAGCAGATTGTAAATTTACTACCTGAAAATGGGGGAAATGTAGTTATCATGGAATATGGGTATGGATGGGATGTAGAATCAGACGAGGATGAGGAAGACATTGTCATAGAATAAACTTGTACTAGTTTTCTTCCCCCATTGAACCGAGTACATGGTCACATGGAAGCTAAAATTCCTGCAACACTATTAGTGTGCTGGGCGGTTAGGCCCCTCCCGGGTGTTACCTAAACTTTGTTCAGGGCTTTAGTTATTCTGATGTAATATTATAGTGTTACCAATATTTATTAGCTTTATCCAAGTGTGAGGCTTCCACATCTTCCAACTGTGATGCTGAGGAATGGAGTGACAAGTTTATATATATAGGGATAAATATCTACTTGCATTATGTAAAAAATAATAATTTTATATTAATATAAGATTATTAGATGAACATAGTGGATGATTGAGAATAAATTTTTTATGAATTTACATCGTTTTTTTATTCATAAAAATATTTTCACTTTTAACTGTATATCTCAGTTATTTACATTCACCAAATAGTATGCGTAATAATTGCCGGTTGGTCTTGAGCTAGACGCAGATTTCATTCTGTAATTTTGGGACACAACTGGGGAACTGTTAACCTAACTAAACAAAATTTTCATACAAACACTATATAATATTAACCCAACCTTCATTCAGCAATGTGAACAAATAACAGCAATATGTATCAGTATTATTTTGTTGAGTGCTTGAAAGAAATGCAAAACAGAAGCGCTACAAAGGAAGAGGATCAGGTCAAGTCACCCCAGGTTCACATATTCTTCAAAGCCTACACAAATATGAACTTAAAAGTACAAGTTCAATGAAATTATTTAAATGATACTCTAAGCTTGTTGAGCAAAACAGGCTTCCGACATCAGGGTGTCTTGGACTTGGGTGGTGATGGAATTAACTGCAACACAGAGCATAATCCTGTCAGCCTCCAAAGTTCGTAAATCAAACCAAAATTTTCATATATGTCCTATTCTCTTTACAGAAACAATTCATGTAATGCTGATTTTATTTTACATCAGCTGCCATTCATATATGATCGACTAGCTTGTAGAATTTCTCTATTTTTGTGTTAATCTTTAACTATTCCTCAACAAAACTAGCAATTCCCCATATATATATGAATTCAGTTCTAATATTCAACCAACTGTTGAAAAAGAAAAATGTGCAACCCAAGACTCAAAAGATGAAATCGAATACCTGATAACAGGAGATGAGAGATGTAACAAATCCAAAGGCTCCAGTCACACGTGGAGTGACTTTCTTAGGTGCCAATTGAAGAAGCCCAACTGCTACGACTATATCCATTCCTGCTTTAACAAGGGCCAGAGTCCTCTCATTTGATTTTTGGAGCTTTGCACGATACTCCTCATTCTGCATTTATATAAGCACAATAAAGTTGGAAACTGCAGCAACAAAAGAATCGGAATGCAGAAGAATGATTACAATAACACTTAAGAGAAAACACATATTGAGCATACCTTGTACTTGTCACAATTCTTAAGATTCTTTTCCAACTTTTTCATTGATAAAGATAGCCTTCCGAGCTCCCCAAGCTGATAAAAAGATGTCATATGTTTTGAAAAGGGGGATATTATAGCTCACTGAACATCTAAAAATATTGTAGGTAGAGAGATTTGATCTAAAATTAACAAAGAGCAACAAACCTCAACTAAGGTGGTACAGATTGATGAACCCATCCAGCAGAAAAGGGATATTTGTCCAAGCAACTCAGCACGTTCTTTGTTCTGTAGATGGAATTTTTTTTTCAAGCTAATAATTGTAAACAAAGACAAACAAGTTAAATAGAATACAAAAATGAAGTGTGTTGCATACCTTATAGATGCCTGATCTGTGAAGCCAGACAATTTGATCGAGAAATAAGAAAGTTGACAACAATGCATTTTTCGACTGAAACAAACATTAAATTAATCCAAGGGGTGTTAAATTAACTAAGTTGACTTGAAAGTAGAGAAATTCCAAAGGAAATTGGAAGTTTATCATACCTTTCCTAACAGAACAAGTGGAAGGGGAGTTCCTTGAGGAACTGGGCTAATAAGACCGTGCAAATCATTGACAAACTGCAAATTCACAATGAAACAAGAATCAAACTATATTTATAATAAAAATAATGGGAGAACTTAAGTTCGCTATCATATGCCTTTCGTGGTACCAAGTATTTTTTTTCATGTTATCCGAATTCAGTTAACTCAATGCTTTTAAGAAACCAAAAAGAGCAACAACAAAAAATCTTCATACCATGCATTAGCTCAGAGTGCTCTACTTTCAGCAATATAACAGAAAAAGAAATATTATTTATCTAATAAGTGAAAAAGGTCGATCATTGTTCAACATAAGCCAACTAGTTAGTTTTATATATGACAAAGTGAGATAACCTTAAAAAGGCGGAACACTTTCCGAGCCAAGCTGGTTGATTTGTCAACATTTTGTGCGGTTCCAGGTTGCCCATTACTTAAGAATTTCGAGCCATATTGAATGGCCCTGCATATCTTATCCCTTGCTTCAGCCTTGTTCAAATACAAAACTATAAGAGCAAGTTCCGCTCTAGTTACATCCAGCGTACTCATCCTTATCTGCAAAACACCTGAAAAATCCTAATAATTACATTCTCGCACAAACCTAAAGGGCCGATGCAAAAGCACACATGTGATCGTAAGATGCAGGGAGACAATGTTGCTGTTTAAACAATCAAGTTCTAACTAATGGCATGAACAAGCTAAAAAAAATTCTATCCTTAAATAGCATGAACAAGCTAAAAAAAATTATATCCTTAAATAGCATGAAAGCTCTAATTAATAGCTTAAACTCAAACTGAATAACCATAAGTTCACTTTAGGCTTTGCTTGGTATGAAGGATGGAAATGAGGAAAGTCTTAATAGTAGAAGATATTCAGCACCAAGCATCAAACTCTCTTCACAAATACTATAGTCTGAAGTCTATTGACTTGCAAAAAAACATACAAGGAAGCTTTTAGCTAGAACAGATAATCAGCAAAATCATAACCAGCAAAGTCTAGTACCCAACAGTTTAGCTTAGCTTTGAATTGTATCAATCTAATAAACAAGATACCCATAATTTAATTTTCCAGTTTCCCTATTTCCTATCAACCAAGCATACCTGACAACAAATAATAAAAAGAAAGTAAAAATTCAAAAACTTAATCAAATAATCAAAACACGAAACACCCAAATTGGAAAACACTAAGAATATTATAAAACAACACAAACTAAATTTCAAAAAAGTACCCAAAACCATACAACAGCAGCAACATACAGTCAACTTAAAAGCAAAGATTTGTCTTCTTACAGCTAACAACAGATGCGAATCAATAAAAAAAACTGGGGGTTCCGTGAATTGGGCAAGTACCCAGATAAAAGGTCTGAAAACAGAAAAATCGAATGAGAAAGGTACCGAAGAAAGTGCCTGATGATTTTACCCCTTTTCTTTAATAGAAAATCGTGTTTTCTAAGGCAGCGGGCAGATTGGAGTTTCTGGGTCTCACGTTGTCTCCAGCGTCAGCTCAATGTGTCGTTTTCTGATCCTCTATCTCTACGTCTGATAAAGGCTTGTTCGGTCCAATCTTTTCGAAATGGTTTTTAAATATTATTAAATTGATTACATTGCAGGTATAATTGATTATTTTTTTATATTTTAATAAATAAAATAAAGATAAAGATAAAATTGAATGATAAAATTTATAATTTATTTATAAAATATTATAAATTTAATTAGATTGAATCACGTCAGTTTATCACTTTACTTAAAACATGTCATAATATATAAATTACTTTTAAAAAGTAAAATATATTCATACAATAAATGATTAAAAATTAATCAAACAATTAAAAAAATAATCATTATGACTAAACATAATTAATAATGTTGAAATATAAACATAATTAACATTAATTTAAAATGCATATACTAACAATTATCAGATATAAATAATTTTTATTTTATTTTAGTAAGATAAAGATATAATTAAAAACAATAAATATCTAAAGAAATATTATTATAAATATCTTGAAATATTATATGAAATATTATAGTAGTTATCTAGATTGGAACTAAGATTTTTCTATATTAAAATTAATTCCACCACTCTTTAACTATTTCTTATTAAACTTGTCATGAATTAAAAATGATTTCATATGATCAAATCGAGTCAGAATATGTCAGATTCAAGTATTTTGACTATCATAATTTTGACTGTTGCAAAACATTAATTCCACCCTTAATAGTATTTAGGATTCATTTATACATCTAAGTTTACATAAGCAACAAACTAATGTTATTTGAATTGATCCGAAACATGATTTTAGAAAATGATTAAACATGAAATGTGTAAAATAAATATCTGTGTATCATTTAAGTTCATATTTAATGTTCTTATGAAAATTCTAATGACTTACGTATTTTGTCTGTTGACTACCTCTCTTTGATCGCTTTCCATAGTATTGTAGGACTAAATTAAGATCGAATACATTTGATCGTAGATAAATCATAAGTCAAAGATAGTGTGATAATTTAGGGTCCATATTAGATATTAATAAATTTTTGTTAACATGTCTTTCATCAACCTATAGTTAAAGATAATATGATCCTTTTATGATAATTTGATAATATTAATAGTCATTTTGAGATAAATAATAAATTAGGGACTATAATGTAACTTTTAAATTTTAGTAGTGGAAAAAACTTGCAGAAATATTAGTGACCACATATGTTATTAAATCACTGTTCCTAGACAAACGTGCATGTATTAATAAATATATCATATTGGAGATGTGGTATATACTCCATATCCTTTTCTTCCGAGAGAGGAATAGGAGGCTGGCTAGTGGCTGGAAAAGAGTCGACTAACCAAAATAGTTAGATCTCACTCTCTCAGTTTCCCTCTGCTAGCAAACTTGACAATGGCGGATCCATCACTTCACCATGAAGTTCAACCCATCAAAGAAATAGCCATAGACTATACTCCAGAGGCCTGCACCCACTGTCCCGTCTCCAACTCCATCACACTCACCTTCGACCACCGCGGAGGCGCCAGATGGCGTTCCACCACTCGCTTCCTCTACGGCACTTTCACTTCCCTTATCCAATGCCCCAAAGGCAACACCAGTGGCCTCAACTTCAATATTTACCTCTCCTCTCTCGAAGGCGACAAATCCCAAGACGAGATCGATTTCGAGTTCCTTGGCAAAGACAAAACTATAGTCCAAACCAATTACTACTCAACAGGTTCATACAATTTTTTTTCTTAAGTACTGCATTTATTTTTGCTATGTTTCTAAGGTTTTTGTGTGTAAATTTTTTTATGTAGGAACTGGGAACAGAGAGCAGATTCATGATCTGGGTTTTGACTGCTCCGATGGGTTCCATGAATACACAATCAAATGGAATCCTGATTCTATAGAGTGGGTTATTGATGGGAAGGTGGTGAGGAAAGCGGAGAAGAAGGAAGGTGAGGGATTTCCTGAGAAGCCCATGTTTTTGTACGCTTCGGTTTGGGATGCAAGCTACATTGATGAAGCTCGATGGACTGGGCCTTACATTGGCTCCGATGCTCCCTATGTTTGTCTCTATAAGGATATTCAAGTGCCTGTCAACAACACTGTTGTCGAATGTTCTTGTGATTCATCATGATCTGGCCTGTTCTTGCTTTCTTTCGAGTTGTGTTCGTCTGAGTGTCTCTTGTTGTTTGATGGATCTTTTCTTTGGGTTTTCCCTATATTATCTTTTACTCTATTGTGTGTTGCAAGTTGTAATTCGCTCTCTGGTTCGTCTTAATAATCTCATTTTCCTTTCATAAAAATATAATCCAAAGAAAATCTTATTGATTTGCAAGGACTTGTTTTACTAGCATGGTTAGCATTCAGAAGATGGAAGCTATAAGATATGAAGAAAGGTGCTCAACTTGATGTTATAAGATATGAAGTAGCAGAGAATACAACCTCCCCTTCCAAAGGGCATGTACTCTGTACACTTTATATTTAAAGTATACATGTAAAATCTGGTGAAATCTACATAGATGTGTTAATGATGCTATGATAATTGAATATGGGGTAAGTGTTTTAACAATACTTGAAAAAAAGATACATGACTAAGTAATAACCGTCATTACCCTGGAGATACCATCTGCTGGTGCCGGGTGCTGCTGCTTTTGAGGTGGGCTGTGGATATCAAAGTAAATTCTATGGCACTGTCTTCCATTGATGAGTTCCTGTTCAACAATTGCATTTTTCTTCTTCAAGCTGAACCATATGGTGTAAAAGGCTGCATTTGGTGTCCATGGCAAATGGTTAACCTAGCTCTTCTTAGGAAGGAAATGAGGCCATTTGCAACCTCCGAACGCCTGAGAACTGAGCAGAACTAGACTCTCGCTATCATATTATGCAACTTCACAAAATCATCTAAGGTGAGCTCCTCAGGTCTTGACTGCATACATGATTCGAGTATCAATTAACTTGGTGCAGAGGTGAGATTACCATCAGTTAAGCAAAATTGCATATAACAGATAAAAGGAGGAAATAACTAAACTAATAAGTAGAAGGTGTCGGTTTCGACTGAAACTCACAGTTATTGGAAGGCCAGCATCTCCAAGAGCTCTTTCTATCTCACTGGATGGGCATATGTGCTGGAGTGATTTCCTCAACATCTTACGTTTTCCATTGAATGCAGAATTCACCTAAAGTTTTTAAGTAAATAACTCTAAGGTATCACTTTATTCAAGCAATAATAATTTAGGTTTTATTATCAGAAAATATATGGATATCATCCCAAAACAGGTCACAGGCCAAGTTTGAAGGTCTAATTTATGTTCCTACTGTCCTACGTGAGCTATTCCGAGTTTCAGTAATAACTAAAAGTAAAGTTGCCTCAACATGGAAACCACCCAACCATGGAGAAAAAGCTTTTCGTGGAGGCCACAGAAGGGTAGTTTGGAGCTTGCTTCAGCTTAAATGTAACGACAGCTGCATCAACCTACAAAAGCATAAAAACGAAGACTTAGTATCCATCCTTTCAGTAAAGTAAAATATGTTTCATGTGGACCCTGTTAGAGAACGAAGGAGCTATTCCAGGTGACGCTAGATTGGTTTAAGGTGAATCTCAAAATGGTAAAATATGATGCCTTAACATCATTTAGATGACTTACATTAGGTTGAGGAAAGAAATTTGTTCTTGGGACTCTGAAGTTGTATTCAGGCTCTGAAAGCAACACGATATAAAGGTATCACACAAGTTTTCAAAAAGATTGTTACCAGGTACACATCAACAAAGTTATTTCCCATTGCATATAGTTGAAAGCTAAAAAAACCAACAAATTAACACCAAACAAAAAACTTCATTGAATAAAAAACACATGATAATAATTTATTCTAGATCCCCTAAATATAGTAGAAATACCAGAATAAAAATTTACGAAGATGTTGATGGGTCGGTACTCAGGTGTCCGCAAAGACGATTCCACCAATCGTACAGCTGTTTCCTCCTGGTATTATTTAAGCATTACAATTAGTAAGCCAGTTTATGAATACTTAATCCAAACAGGCTGAGACAATCAACATAGAGAGAAAAAAGACTTTAAACATATTCAACCTCATATTTCTACCTCACAAATGATGCAACAATGACCCAAACACTTGAAAATTTTGACGTCGAATGCTAGTTTTACCATATCAATAAAAAAAAGGGATAGATAAAGATTTTACAGACCTGGAGCAAGAGAACAACTTTGGAGAAAATATCACCCATAGGAAGAAGTAGTTTAATTACATCCGTACTTATGTTAAAGGGTAGGTTAGAAACTACCTGCAAAACGAAGAGTATAAACTTATTATAAATAAGATTGGCAAGGCAATTTGGGAGGGAGGCAATATATCTATTATTCACAAATTCAACTTCTCTTAATTAGCATTAGCATCAAATTAAGGTCGAAAATCTAATCTTAGTTTTAAGTGTAGAGTCGTTAAAAAGACAACTAAACGAAGCATAGTTCTTACTTTGGAGCGGATTAAGCTTGCATTCAGAGCCTTTCTACTTTCCAACATTGGAGAAATATGAGAACCAATGTGACATTTGACAAAATCCTCTTGTAATACCTAAAAAATTCTCATATAGTATTAAAAGATATTCAAAATTCAATAAAGAAGTAATATTTGTTAGACAATTTACTAATTCACCTTGAACCTGTCCGTGCTTTCAAATCTTTCTCTTACAAGAGCCACCATATGAGGATCCTACATCACATAAACAAAATAAAATAAATCCAAGCTATATTCTTCAATAAAATTTATTTTCAGTAATTGTAATTTGGAATTGAAAAGAACGGACCTTTTCGATGGCTAGAACTGTGGCACCGGAGTTTATGAGGACATTGGTTAAAGAACCAGTTCCCGGTCCAATTTCTAACACCACGTCACCTTCTTCTACATTGGCCGCCCGTACCAGTTGCTCGTTAATTTCAGAATTCAACATGTAATGCTGCATATGTTAAATAAATATGCCACAATTAATTAGGTTATCTAAAACCCAGTGCATTAGAAACAAGAAAGAGAAGTGGGGCGTGTAATTTGACCTGGCCGAGGGATTTTCGTGGGAAGCGGCCCTTTGAGTTGAGAGCTTTGAGGGTGGCGTGGTAATCGTCATCTCGGCTCCTCCTCAAAGCGCACGCTATATGCAACAGCGTCGTTTGATTTCGTACGCGGGAACTGGTATTGGCCGCCGGGACTTTAGCGGTCGGGAGGGAAACAATTGGCGGGAGAGAGTGGAAAAGATGAGTCGCAGTGGTCATGTCTTCCTTACCGATAAATTTGGAAAGTGAAATTTTTTTTCCCTTCTTGTTTTATCCCAATTTTTTGAAAATTCAATGCTACATCTTAATTGATTGAAAAAAGAGTGATTAAATTATATTTTTTTATTTAATTGTTTAAAAAATCTATTTTCAAACGTTATTTGATATGTATATAATTTTTTTTTAAATAATAATTCTAAAATTCTTAATTTTAAGAAAAATCTTAATTTCTCGACATTTCTCTTAAAATTTATAAATTTTGTCTATTGTGCTCAAATGTCATCTCGTCGTTACAACAATTAAATTTGTTCTTTTGACTGGAAGAAACGTTGGATATAATTAACACTATCTCTCATCCGTTTATTTCATTTGTTATTCGTTAATTTACGATAACAGAAGAATGTGAATGTGTGATAATCAATAGTGGACATTCAACGACAAACAGAATAGATAATAATGGCGATTTGACCAAATTGATATATATTTATCGAATATTTATCTTTTTAACACCGTTTGATATATATTTTTCGAAGTAACACCCTTTCGGTTGAGCTGGCGAAAGGCGCGTGACGCGCTTTACCCGTGTTTTCGCTGAGTTGGATGCCACATGTGGAAGACGCATCCCCGGGGACGCGCCTTCACTGGATTCTGATGACTCGATTGCCACGTGTGGAAGGCGCATCCCCGGAGACGCGCCTTCCATTAAATGCCATAAATGCCCCCACCCGTTTTCTCTAACTATCCCTCCTCCTCCCCTATATAAACCCCCTCAACCCTCCCTCATTCTTCACACCAAAATCATATTATCCTCTCTTATATAACTCAAATTCTCTAACTATTTGAGTTTTAAATTTGTTATTAGTGGTAAGAAATTTATTTTTATATTAATATCTTTTTAAATAGTTATTATATTTTATATTAATATATTTATGTAAATATTATTTTTTTTTATTAAAATAATATTTATATAATTATTATTTATTTAAAATTATTAATTTTTTGTGCTAATTATATTGTTTTGTCTACAGTTATAATGGAAAATGAAATGATGTTGCGATTTGATATTGATCATATCTCCAGTTATTTTAGCGATATGGTAATATTTAAATTAAAGAAGCTGAAGAGGGGGTTGTTTTTTAGTTAGATCATTATATCCCCTTAACCTTGAAGAGAAACATCACAATTGAGGAGTTAATCATAAAAATTTCGTTAAAGATTCGTGTAGCAGGCCAGAGAAGACTATATTCACTTCAGTATAGATTTCCTACTGAACTTTTTCCGCTCACGTATACATCATTTCAGCTTTCAAACGATGATGATGTTTCTATGATGGTTGATGCTTATATGGGGAGTTCACAATCTCTTATTGAAATGTATGTCACTTTTATTGAGATTCGTGCAACTCGTGGTCTCTCATATTCCTTTCACTTTGGAGGATTAAAAAATTATGTATACGATGACACATTTCATGTTCTGATTGGATGATTAAATTTATTAAATTAAATTTTCAATAAGACTAATTTCATAAAATATGTAAGTCTTGAAGATTAAATATGTAATTATACTAATTTATTAACTTATGCATCAATATTTTCGTTAAATATTGATAAGAGATGACTAGATTGATAACATTTAACTAATTAACTGATAAAATTAATAGATCGATAATCAAAATCAAAAATAATAATATAACCATATGTGTAATATTATAATTTCATACATTTTTCTTATAACTACAATAAAATCAAAACTGGTTTTCATATATTGTTCTATCATATTAATGTAGATAATTCACTCCACATTTAACACACATTAACAAAATACATTTGATAATTCTTACATTATAATCGAAACACTTTACATAATATATTATTAATTTATAATAAAAATAAAAATAAAATATTTATTATTAAACAAAATACCAGCGTGGCAGTCGAGTCATCAGAATCAAGTGAAGGCGCGTCCCCGGGGATGCGCCTTCCACACGTGGCATCCAACTCAGCGAAAACACGGGTAAAACG